CTTGACTACATTCTCAGAGAGAGCCCACAACACTCTTTTATCGCCACCCCCACTCAACACCACTATCACACAGTGGTTGACACATACTCAATAGACGGTAAGTTGCTTTTATTAGGGTAAATTGTTCCATAATCATTAGTCAACAAATATAGAATGCTATTTAGCATTTCTGTGTCAGGACGGAGTTTGGGTTTGTTGGTTTTTTAAAAATAGACCTGCCTTAAAATTTTGATGACTCTTACTGGTTTTGTTTTGTGACAAAGTCAGGATCTGGGTGGAAAAATGGTGGGGGACAGAGAGTAGGAAATTCTGAAGAGGGGAAGTCAGCAGAAAGGATGTGACAATAATACTGGTGTCTATCATCAGGGCACAAAGGAAATCATCCCATAGCCCTCTGGACCCTCCTAGACTAGCAAATAATTGAACAAGTATCAGACAGACCGATAAGAGAAAAAGTCAAAAAGAAATTTAATAATGTGTATCTCCTGTACACATGGGAGAGACCCAGCACTGCTAACTCACCCCATGGCTTCAGATGCCATCTAAGGTAGCAGAGCCAGGTCAAGGGAATTTGGATGTGGAAGGGCAGAGAAAGGGAGGTCAGTTAGGGAGGTGCCAGAGAATGGATAGTAGACAAAAGCATGCAGATTAATTCTTCTTTCTCCATTAAAGAGATAAGGAAATTAGGTCTTCCTGGGAAAGGCCCTTACAGAGAGCTTATATACATTCTTCAAAGCAACCTCCACTCAGTATTCAGAGCTCCTCCTATTAAATCAACCTTTAGCCAAAAAGCCATATTTTGGGGTGGCAGATTTGTGCTTTTCTACATATTCCTGAACGTAAAATTAAACATTATTTGACAAAAAAATGATTATTTTATACACTATTATGCACATAGTATATAATGCATATGCACTAAGTAAATTCATTCTTGATATATATTTATGCAATTAGGTTTTTTTCTCATAAATCAAGTTTTCTTAATAATTATGCAATATCTTTTAAATCCTAACAATTTCACCAAGGACTAAGTGCTGTTAATAGCTCTGTTTGATAGAAATGTTGACTCAGAGAGTTAAAACAACTTAGCTATGCAGTCAATAAATAAAGTAATAACTGCAAACCTGTGTCAGCATCCCAGAACTACTTGGGATATTTGCTTAAAATGCTCAGGGATTGGACTGGGAGGATCTGGATACACATTACTAAACTCCCAAGAGCAAAAACTACTGAATTAGTCAGTGAGGGTTTACCACTCTTTTCTTAGGATATATATATATGACAATATATATCATATTATATATCATATATGATAAGATATATATGATAATAGATGAGCTATATGGATATTTTCCTAGAATCCCTGCTCCACAAAATCAGGGACTTAACATTACAGAAGGAAACAACAATCAGCCAATATATGCAACAAGACTTCCCTTTCCATGAATTATTTATTAGATCTAGGATCTTCATCAGGCTGGTAAGCTGCCACCCAGCATGATGCCTATTTTTGAAAATAAAGTTTTACTGGGATAGAACCACAGCCATGCTTATTCTGCTACTATCCCCTGTGGGTTAGAGTTGAATAGCTGCACCAGAAATTTGATACCTGAAAAGCCCAGAACACTATCTGATACTTTACAGAAAAGGTTTGCTTACTCCTAGCTTAGATTACTTATTATTATTATAAGAAAGTTAGACTGAGCCAGCGGGCCTATTGTAAAATTTAAGAGGGAGAAACCTAACACACTTACAAGAAATGCAAACTGGTATTACTTTTTTGATAAGCCCTTCTTAGTAGCTTCATTTGGCTTTCATATATTTTTTTTTTTAAGCATTAAAAGGTGGGATTTTGGTAGGGTTTTTAAAGAGCAATGACGTAGTTTCTAGCAAATTTTAAAATATACATACTTCTAGGAATCTAGGTTTAGGCACTCTCATGCTATTTGCAACCCTGTTTACAAAAGCAACCAAAGAGAAACAAATCACCAAAAAAGGGGCAGTTCAAAGCATCATAGTATAGCCACATAATATGAAGCCACTGAAAAGGATGAAGTAGATAAAAATATACTGAGATGAAAAGGTATCAGTGTTGTTGGTGGGAGTGCAAACTGGTTCAACCACTATGGAGAGCCGTGTGGAGATTTCTGGACCTACTAAACATAGAGCTTCCATATGATCCAGCAATTCCACTCCTAGGTATTTACCCAAAGGACACAGAAATATCAATTCCAAAGAGCACCTGCACCCCTATGTTTATAGCAGCACTATTTACAATAGCTAAGCTTTGGAAACAGCCCAAATGCCCAAAAACAGATGACTGGATCAAGAAGATGTGGTACATATACACCATGGAATATTACTCAGCATTCAAAAAAGATAAACACATGCAATTTGCAGCAACATGGATGGCGCTGGAAGGGATCATGCTCAGCGAAATAAGCCAGAAAGAAAAAGAAAAATACCGGATGGTCTCACTCATAGCAGGAATCTAGAAAACTTAAATAAGGGACCAGGAAAATGAATAACTATAAGAAAGTGAAAATCAAAATCAACAAACAACTATGAACCAGAGACAATTTTTGGGGGGTGGGGGGTGGGAGGGGAGGGATTGGGGTCAGAATGGGGGGGGGTTGCAATTGTATGGGGAATATAAAAATAAAATTTATTATAAAAAAAAAGAAAAGGTATCAGTGTTATTAATATAAAACTATGAATATAGAATACACCTTCTGTATGTATATTTGTAACTATACAACTATCTACTGTTAAAAAGAAAATGACAACCCCAAGATGAAGATCCTTGTGCTAAGCCCACCAAGACTGAACACCTACATGACCAGGTCTGACTGCCCTTAGCAACGGCATCTTTACTAGTCAGTGTGGAATTTTCTGGCAGCATCAGTAAAGCAACTTTTTCCATTCCCCAAAGAAAGATGAAATCAGCAGCAAGGCTTTTTCCCATTCTCCATGAGTAATTGCCTGCCTAAGCCTGAAGTAATTTCCTCATCTATCTTGCCCACTTTATATCTAGAAAAACCTCTCATTCTGTACATTTTTTGAGTTCTCTGCACTTATAACATGGGATGCTGCCCTATTCATAAATCCTTTAATAAAGCCAATCAAATCTTTAAAATTAGGGCTTCCCTGGTGGCACAAGGGGGTAAACACCGCACTATGAAGCAACCAGCAGCCTCTGCAGCACGAGTTCAATCCCCAGCCGGCCAGGGAGCAACCCACATGGTGCAGCAGATCTCTCCTGACTTGCCCACTGCTCCCCTCAGCAGTGTGTTTCAGTCAGCCTGACTGTTCTGTTCCCCACTTTGGCCTGTACCCCAGCTCTTGTATGCATAAATAAATAAATCTTTATATGCATACAAGAGCTGGGGTACAGGCCAGAGATGCGGGCAGAGAGGTGAGAGGATTCACCAGCGACAATTATGTTCTTTGCAGAGGAGCAGTACGGGTGCCGTCAGAGGCAAGAAGCTCCTGGCATGACCTCTAGGCCTGTAGCATTGTTTCATCAGCAGAGGGCAATGTGGAAGAAGGCAGGGACAGGAGGAGGGTGTGGCAAGAGGGATGAGCAGGGCTCCCAGGGCTGCTCTGCAAGAGAGGCAGCCCCAAAGCCTGTTCTAGAAGAGACAGCAGCATCTGATAGGACTCCTACATCTAACTAGCCATTGCATAGAATTGACCAAAAACAAATTGGAAGACTTGAAGGGTGCTGGATTGCCTCTGTAACCCCAACCAAACCAAAAATTGCCTATGACTGCTCCCAAACGTGGTGCTCAAACTGTGTATTAACGTGACCTCAGGAGTTTAAAATGACTGATGCCCAAGCCCCACTTCAGTCCAATTAAATCACAAACTTTGGAGGTAAAATCCTGTCATTGGGGTTTTTAAAATTTCCCCCAAGTGATTCTGAAGTGAATTCAAGGTTGAAAAACACTGCTCTACATGCCAGCCAATCCTTAGGCACCAAGCTGCAACAGAAAACAGCCTCTACCAGAGCTGATCATCTCCAGCAGGGATACCAGACAAAGTACAGGGTTCATCCTGTATTTTTATTTGCTAACTCTGACCCCCAAATCATACCTCAAATATGACTATGGAGAACACTTTCCCTGAGGGTAGAGAACAACAGAGAAGCTGACCAAGGCTCTCAGCCAACAGTCAGGCAGGGAGTCCTCACTGGAATGCAGGCAGGGTTTGCAGATGGCCACTAGTGTAAGCACAGAAGCAGCACTCCACCAGCCCTCAGCAAGTGCCGGCCACCTGTCTCAGGAAAGCTTGGTTTATGAGAATGTCTGTATAAACATGCATCCCAGTGGGCACTGCTTTGGTACTCACTTCAGTAGGAAATGTTCCTACACCCCATCGATTATGATTTGGTCAGAAAATCATGTGTCAGTTTCAACTTTCCAGGAAACGATCTCTAGAGAAATATTTGGTTTCACTGGTACTTCGACCCTATCTTATGGTTTCTGTTCCCTTTTCACACCTCCTTGCTCTCTCCCCAGCTTTCCTCTCAAGTTGTGGTTCTGATCACTTGGGAGACAAAATCAATAGAATCATCACAAGAAATGATGGTTTACATTTTTTATATAAGTGCTTTCAGTGTTTGGAGTGCAGTGCTGGGAAAAACCTCCCAATAAGCATTTGTTGTTTGATATATATGATACAATTTCTGCTGAGAGAGCTAATCACGCTTATTGGTCCACATATTGGGTGTCAGAAGAATTAAAGAGAAAGGAGGAAGGATGGTGAAGTACTTGTGATGATATGTAAGAGAAATATTCATTTTCACACAATTCAACAACAGAAATAAATTACAAAAGTTAAATAAGATAGATAAACTAAAATTGAAGTTAAGGAGATCCTCAGAGAGAGACTGAGGGTAGGAGAGTGACCCACAGAAGAGATGACTTCCAAGGTTCCAGGGTCACTGCCCCAGCTCAGGGGCCTGCTCCCCAATCTCCTCATAGATGTAATACCTCCCTTGCAGCTGCCAGGTGACTCAGGCATTCAGATCCAGGTGGGTGATATACTCCTGGACCCAGTCCTCCCTGGGGTCAGCACACACCTGCCAGGCTCTTTTGGTCTGAAAGCTGTGGAGAGGAGTGGAGGGTTACACAGGGAGGAATCCTGGGTCCACTGTGACCCCTCACCCTTCTCTGTCCCAGACATCTCAGAGCCTAGCCACTTGATCATAAAATATTTTCTTAAACTTGGGGTTCACTGAGCTTCCTTGCATCTCATATGGGGATCCCCTCAGAAAGCCAGCTTCCTGTAGTAACTCTCCCCTCTGCCCAGGGTAGGTCCTCCAGGACTCTCTGCAGGCCCCAATCTCACCACAAGAGCCTCCATGATGCCCTGTACTCTGAAGGGTCTCAGAAGCCTGGGTCCTCAGAAAAGGGATGCCTCACCCCAGAACTCTCTGTCTCCCTCCCAACATGGGCAGGAAGACGGGCTCTTACATGACACCAGACTTGGAGCAGAGGTTGCTGGTCTCATAATAGTCCACGATGAATTTGCGCGGAATCCGCCGGGATATATAGGAGAAGCAGCAGGCGGTCGGGATGTTGGCACCAACTGTGAGAAGAAAGACAGAAAACCATAAGTCAGCCAGGTTCTTCTCAAAGGTCAGACGCACTGCACAGGTGTACGGGAACAAGAGATCCAGGAGGGACACTGGCATTTCTCCTTTCATGGACATTTTTATTTCTATGTCTCTCTTTTGGTGTTTCTCATTCTCTGTCTTGGTTTGGTGTCTCCATGTTTCTCCATGGGGAGTTTCATTTTCTGAACAAACTGCTTCTTTTTCTATCTCTTCCTGGGGAGCTCTATCTGGAGTTCATGAGGAGCGCCAAGGCTACACTGCCGGGAAGTAAATGGACACAGATTCTACCTATTGTCAAATCCCAGTTGGGCCTCCCTTTTCCCAGGCATAGACAAGGACTTATTCCCACCCTCTCTCCCAGAGCAGAACAGAATTGCTAAAACCTCTTAGGAAGGAAAATTCTCAGTAAGTCACTCTGAAGTTGGCTGCTTAGGGGGCTCAGGCTCAAAACTTTGGCATTATGGTCCACAGCATGGTCAGAGACTGGAGAACAGAGCAAATGGAAAACAAGGGAGCCCAGACTCACATGAGGCAGAGCAGGTCTGAGAACAGAGGGCCGCGGTGAGGAGCAGGACAGCAAGGACAGCAGCGGGGACCTCCATGATGCCCAGTAGCAGAGTGCGAGCTCAAATGGTGGTCAAGCAGAGCTGGGACTTGGGGTCATGTAGCTGTTGCCGCCTTCCCGGGTCTAAGAAATACCTTCTCTTTATAAGCTGCTTTGGGTATGAGAAGATGGGGACCTGGAGAGATAGTGGGGGGAGTTTTTATCACGGTGTTGGTGTCATGCTGTGAGTTACATGAAAGAGGGCTTTGGGTTGCCACAAAGGTTCAGGTTATTTGCAAGAATGGTTTAGTTGCTTACTTGACGGGAAAATGGTTTCCACACTGAGAGGAGGTGAGATGCCGGTGTGACACCGATGCTGGTTTGACCCTGAGACCAAGTTTGCAGGTACCTTCTCACAAGAACAGATCTCCACAGCAAACTTTTCATCCACAGAGCTGCACACTTCCTGATATCCACCCCAGATGTCCCAATGGCTTGGACAGGACACACTTGAGAACACTGTGGAGCCTTGAGAAGCACAACAAACACCCTGATGGAGACAGCAGAATAGGGGGAGCCTCAGCGACAAAAGCAGCAAGACTGAGGCTGCTCTTCAGATATTGGCTCTTTCGTCATTCTCTAAAATAAGTGTAATATTACAGAGAATAAGTGTATAGTATAGTAAGTGTAAGTGCCTGATAATTACCTTTTTGATTATAATAAAAATCCCAGATGTTAAGTTTTGATTACGGAGGCATCAATTTCAAAGACATCCATCTAGAATAAATCACTGGCAGCTACATAAGTAGAATAGAACGAGGCCACCTCACCCATGAAGTTCCCCTTTCAGGAAGGCCTGGCTGCCCTAGATAACTGACCGTTTGGATGACCCTGTTCTCTCCTTCCCCTGCTTTTATTTCTGCTCTTAAATTTTAAGTTACCAATAAATGGCAAACCTGCAAAGCCCTAATAAATCCTCAACCCCAGTAAGGGCAAAATCCCCGGGCTCTTTCTCTCTCTCTCCTCCCCTAAACTTTGCTGTGTGGCCCTAGATGTGCCTTCTACCTGCCAGAACGCCTGTGAGTAAGAAACCTATTTCCTCAAAGTCCCTGATGGTTGCTGCTGAGCTGCATCTTGTGACCAAAATAATCACCAGGGCTGGTCCACAGCATTGGCTCTGGCAGAGAGGATTCCTATGGGGGCTTGCCAAAGTAGGGCCCACCCAGTGAGTGCCCCAGGCATTCCTAGCAATGACATCACTAGTGGTTGTCTGAGTGACTCAAAACAGTTGGTCCCTGGCTTACCTGAGCTAACTGGGGCTTGATATGTACAAAGAGTCTTAAAATGTCATTACTGTTTTCACCAGCAAAATGCTCTGCCATAGATCTATCCTATGGATAGTTGTATGCAGAAAAGTTATGAGGGAAGTTTTATGCGGAATAGTATTTGTCATAGTTTATTTGCAACAATTAGAAGATAACCTACAACTAAATGGTGATGTATTCACCTCTAATAACAATGAGCCCTTTAAAACTGAGTAAATCATTTTTATCTTTAATATTTTTTTAATTTTTTTATTTTAACATTTATCATTTTTTTAATTTTTTAGACAATATTTGCTTCCCCCCACCCTCTCAGATTGAGTCCCCATAGAATTTCCTTCCCCAAGGCACCCATGCACCATCACCACAGTCCCCTGTGCTCTCCTCCCTCTGAGTAAATAATTTTAAAAGGAAGTCCTTATTCTTAAAAAAAATCCTAAACATTTCCTTTTCTTTATTGTATAGTCAAGATGAGCATAGGCAGGGTTTGCCTGGCAGAAACAAACCTATTCAATGATGTCATCAAGGACTCAGTCTTCTTAAAACACTCTCCTATCATTTTGTTGGCTTTTCTTCTGTGGGCTTGTCACTTCATAGTTACAAAATGCTTGCTGCTGCTCGGGCATCACATCTTCACAAAGTCTCATCCACAGACAAAGGAGTCTCTCTACATAGGAGAAAAGAAAGAGCAATGTTGTTAGTGTTTTAAATGAAAAAGTTTTAACATAATTTGTAGCATAATCTGCAGATTACCCTGAAAGTAGTAAAAGCTAATTTTAAAAATAGACAAGATAAAAATAAAGCTTCTTTCATTTTTGAAAGGTGGGTAGGCAGCAAGGCAAGTACAAATAGGATGTGGGGAGGTTTTCCGCTATATCTTTCCTATTGGCAATTATGAATTCTGAGCTATAATCCAAATAAAATTTCTTGCTTAAAGGTACCTTAAGGTAGAAAAAATTATTACCCACATCTCCCCACCATTAACAACCTGGTTTTCTTTCAAATGCATTTTTTCCCTAGGCTTACTTGTCTAGAAAAAAAGGCAAGTTTTCTTAACTTCTGTTTGCCTTTCCTTCTTTTTACTGTGTGTCAGAGGCATTATTGTCATTATTATTATTGTCATCAAATATCATTTTGTATTTTTCTTAAGCATACTTACATGATAAGCTTTTCAGAATCATTCTGGTATCTTTAAGAGTTGCCTAATTTACTCAACATCAACGTAGTGAATTATATCACCATGCACTATTGTACAATAGCATATTGACTGGTTTCAACATTTGTTTTTAACAATATCAAACATCTATATGCACAAATCTTTTTCTATAAATGAGGTTATTTCCATAAGATATCATCCTAGCTATGGACTTTCTGGATCAAAAAATAAGGACATTTAAGGCCCCTGCTCTGTATAGACACCCCTTAGCCACTGCATGCCCGTGTCCATCCCTATTGTGGAATGTAGTGATGGCAGATTGCAGAGACCTGTGAATGCCTGATGAATAAAACAGTGATTAGAAAGTCGACCAGTCACTCTTGCCATGGCTGTATTCCAGGCCACCCCAATTTCATTCTGCCCATCTGGGTCTAGATCAGACACATGGCTCAGGCTACTTAAGACTCTATGGCGGGCCTGCCCTGGTGGTGCAGCAGTTGAGCGCTGGGCTGCGAAGCTGCCCGCAGCCTCTGCAGCACTGGTTCAATCCCCGGCCCTCAGGCAAGGGTCCCACATGGCGTGCAGACCTCTCCTGCCGCGCCTGCTGTTCCCCTCAGCAGTGTATTTCATCGGTCTGCCTGTTCTGTTCCCCCCACTTGCTCTGGTGAATTCTCTCACCCTCCCGTGCTTCTGACTGTAACCAGTGCTTTGTATAAATAAATAAATTAAAAAAAAAAGACTCTATGGCAACATCATATATGTCACATCTGTGCAGTCAGAAAACTTCTGAAAATTCTGCTCTGTGGAAGGGAAAAGGGAACAATGCAGTTCATGGATAGCTCTGTTCTTGATAGAAGGAACCAGCTAGGCTTGATGCCCCACTGACAATCACTCTTAACTTCTCCCTTGGTGGTTAATCATTTCCTCAGAAGCATGGTCCTCAACATGATGTCATGGCCTTTTCAACCAGGGTGCGGTGGAGTTATGAACAGTGTGCCCAGGATGCTGTGTCATCACTGGAGGAATGGCCCTATGTGGTCAGAAAAGCTTTAGCAGAGCATCAGATCTGTTCGGTGGTAGGAATTAATTTGTAGATCTCTCCATGCACTCACAGCTCTAACACTAACAGCCTTTCACCCTGTAGGGGCAGGAAGGGACACAGTGCAGGTTTTCTGATCCAGCAGACCGGGTAAAGGAGGAGTCAGAGTCCTCAGTGGCTTCTGCAGGCTTTTATTGGGATTTACCAGGTATATGGCAGACAGGGGTGCTGAGGGGCTGGGAGGCTGGCAGGCCTCCCAGACCCCAGCAAGTCTTCACTGTCTGGGCTCTCCGGCGTTCTCTGGTGGTTCTGCTTCTCTGTGTCTGCTTCTCTCGGCTTCTCTTTCGGCTTCTGCTGGCGTCCCTGTGACGCCACCCTTAAAAGCCCAGTCTCAGCCCAGGTGAATCCCATCTATCTATGCCCACTCCCTATTCCAGGTGCCCGCCATCAGGCATGCATTCAGGACTGTAAGGATCCATCATCTATCCTGATGGTGGGAGGGCAGAAAAGCCTGACATTTTTCCTTACCCTACACACTCTACTGTTCAAAACATTTCTACACAATCAACCCCAACAAGTGAGCCATTGAGCTATTCTTGTAGACCCTGAACCTCCGTGTGACCCCAGGCATCCTGGATGTGCAACTCATAACATGATACCATGTAATGACTCCCCCTCGACACTCCCAGGCTCCAATTCCTCATGGTCTTTGTTGCCGATAAGGGGGAAGCTCATGGGTTGGACTGCAGAAGGATGTAGGCAGCAGTGAGTGCCCAGTCCTGCCCTGGCTTTGCCCACTCTCTTCTGCCTGCTTCATGGTTGCCTTGGTCCATCTTCTCACCAGCACCTCAGCTCACAAGTCTCTTCTGTACCACAAGACTCAATCCTTGTCCTTCCTTTCTTTTGGACTTGTTTCCCAATGCTCTGAAAAGACATCTAAACCTAAGTGAGAGCTAAGAACATCAGAAGTTTTCAAAATGTTCTGGACTAATCCCTGGGCCTAAGAGGTAAATTAGGGCTAGGACCCATCTTTTGGTTGGGAAATTGAGGCTTAATTCAGTCATTAATAAGATAAAAGCCAGTTGCAGTTGGTTTCTAGGGTGAGTCAAAGTGTAGAATCCCCTCAGTTCTCCCAATGAGATCTACCTTTGGGTGATTTACAGAATATGGCATTTCACTGAGAAATGTCTCTATAGACTAAAAGAGACAGAACAAGGGCCAACTTTTCTAATAACTATATTCCCTGAAGAGGGAGCTAGAGATTGAAAATAAGACCATGGTGGAAATTCCAAAATGAAGAAAAAATGCTCTGTTTCCTTGGTTCCTTTTGTGCCCAACTCTGTAGGTCCAGGCAGTGCATTTCTATCAACTTCTTGCTCACCCCCTCAGAGGGTAGAAGTTGACTTGGCTTTTCTTGGGTTCTTGATTCCCACTTCCTCACAGCTGAGGCAAACATGCCTTCTGCTCCTCTTCTTTCTCTCCAGATTCATCCACATTTGTTAATGAAGGAGGTTTTCTTTCCAGGAAGTCATACCCTGTATCCAGAAAGAGTACCCAAAGTTAGTAAGTTCTACCTTATCCAGTTTTGTGTTTTGACCTCTGTAGGGTGAAGAAAATGTCAGGCTTTTCTGCCCTCCCGCCATCAGGATAGATGATGGATCCTTGAGGTCCTGAATGCATGCCTGATGGCGGGCACCTGGAGTAGGGTGTGGGCATAGGTAGATGGGATTCACCTGGGCTAAGACTGTGCTTTTAAGGGCGGCATCACAGGGACGCCAGCAGAAGCCAAAGAGAAGCCGAGAGAGAAGCCGAGCAGAAGCCGAGAGATGGCCGGAGAGCCCAGATAGTGAGGATTATGCTGGGGGTTGGGAGGACTGCAAGCCTCCCGGCCCCCCAGCACCCTGCCTGCTATATGCTTGGTGAACCCCAATAAAAGACCTGCAAACACCACTGATGACTCTGACTCCTCCTTCACCCGGTCTGCATGGGATCAGAAAATCTGCTCAGTGGTCAGTCCTGCCCTTTACAATTGGCGTAAGTCGGCAGGATGATCCATGCAGACAGGTATGGAGCCCTCTGAAGACCTGGAGGGACTAAGGAATAGCAGACTGAGCCTGTGACCACGCTGGAGGCGTCATGGTGGCACAGAAGGTGGACAAGGTCCAGGAGCTACAGGACGAGACCTGGAGTGAAGGAGACACCTGAGAGGACCAGCCAACGACCCATGAGGCAGCAAGAATCATCAGCAAAGAAAGGACCACGATTCAGAGCTTGCCAGTGCTGATTCAGGGAGAGGCCAACGAACTTGGCCTAATGGACTTGGACTGATGGACTCGGACTAATGAACTTGGACTGACAATCCCACCAGAAGGTGGAGGACCTTGGCAGGTTGTTTTTTTTTTTTGAGAATCTGGGGGTGGCCAGTGGGCCTTGATGGCCAAAAGCAGCCTGTGTGTGCCCAGAAGCTAGGCAGAGGAGAAAAGCCAACTGAGAAGGCAAAAGCTGGTGCTTATGCTAAGTTTGGGAAGTCTTGAGCGGCTGTTAAGCAGCCTAAGTATGCTGAAGACCTGTGAGTCTCGTAAAATCACCTGTGAGTGATGCCCTGCTCGTTGTCAAGTGAGTAGCTGAGGAACCCGTCCTTGGGGGACGGGTGGGGAACGTGGCTTGGGGTGGAGCCCAAGCCAAATGTAGAGTTTGTATCCCCAAGCCATGTGCTTGTGCAGTGGGTTGGCCTGAGTGCGAGGGTCTGCGAGTCACATTGGTGGCTATGAAGGCCGAATGTTGGAGCGACTGCAGACAGAAACCCTGACAGTTGGTGATTACCCCCAACAGTATAGAATTGCCAATCCCAGAGTGAGTGCATCCTGGGGGTGGATGCAGTGTGTGGCTTTTAGCCGAGACTAGAGCCAGAGAAGGCCAGGAAGCCTGACGGCTCCTGGTGTGTTATAGTAGATGCCGTGAGTGATTCCCCTCCCTCATATGAGCAGTGCCTTCGGCAGCAGATTTGGTGGCTCATCTGCTGGTACCAATAATTGTCTTTTGCCACTAGGTTGGGGCCCTGCCTGGACTTATTTGTGTTCTGTTGTATTTTGTTGTTATATTGTGATGTATTTGCTTTTGTGGGCCATGGTTGCAGTGTTTATGTTTGTTAAGAAAATTGTATATATGAAGACTATATGGCAGAAAACCCTGAGGGGGTGGACTGTAGGGTAAAGAAAATGTCAGGCTTTTCTGCCTTCCCGCCATCAGGATAGATGATGGATCTTTGAGGTCCTGAATGCATGCCTGATGGCGGGCACCTGAAGTAGGGTGTGGGCATAGGTAGATGGGATTCACCTGGGCTAAGACTGTGCTTTTAAGGGTGGTGTCACAGCGATGCCAGCAGAAGCCGAGCAGAAGCCAAGAGAAGGCCGGAGAGCCCAGATAGTGAGGGTTTGCTGGGGGCTGGGAGGACTGCCAGCCTCCCGGCCCCCCAGCACCCCTGCCTGCCATATGCCTGGTGAACCCCAATAAAAGACCTGCAAAAACCACTGAGGACTCTGACTCCTCCTTTACCTGGTCTGCTGGATCAGAAAACCTACCCTGTGGCCCATTCCTGGCCCCTTACAACCTCTTTGATCAAACTCCAACAAAATCCAAACCCACTACAATCCCCCAGCTCAGGTTCATGCTTGCTAAATTTTGCTGCTTCTTTGGAGTAAAGACTCTTTTCTCCCTTATCAGAAATAAAATTTACTGATACAAGAAGACTACATAACAAGATCAGGAAAATTTGAATTATCCTACTCCTATTAAGTAATTAAATCAATAATTTAAATCCCCTCCCACCCAAAAAAGGTCTTCATGCCTAGCTCACTCCATAAGCAAATTCTGCCAAACATTATAGAGAAATAAAGGGGGAAAGATAGTCTCTTCCATAAATGGTGTAGGAACAATTGGGCATTCATAACAAAAAATGAGCCTCTACCTAAATCTCACACCCTACACAAAAATTAATTCAAAATGAATCAGAAACTTAAATGTAAATAAAACATGAAACTACTAAACCCTAAGGAAAAAAAAACCACATAAACAAAAATATTCAGGACCTAGGAACAGGGAAAGAGTTCTCAGAATTCACACCAAAACCATAATCCAGGGCCTCCCTGGTGGCACAGGGGTTAAGAGGCAACCTATGAAGCTATCCGCAGCCACTGCAGCACGAGTTCGATTCCCGGCCCGCCAGGGAGAAACCCATATGGCGGGACAGAACTCTCCTGTCTCGCCCGCTGCTCCCCTCAGCAGTGTACTTCGGTCCATCTGCTGGTTCTGTTCACTGCTCTGTCTCTGGTGAATCCTCTCAACGCCCCCCCCCACCCCCACCGCATCTCTGGCCTGTGCCCCAATTCTTGTATAAAAATAAATCTTTAAAAAAAAAAACATCCATAAAATGAAACAGATAAATTAGACTTCATCAAAAGTCAGAAGTCAAGACAACGAAAAGACAAGCTACAGAATGGGAGAAAATAATTGCAAACCACCTATTAACAAAGGACTTGCTTTTGGAACATGCACTGAGCTCTCAAAAGTCAACAGTGAACAAATAGTTGAATTAGAAAATGGGCAGAAGTCACGAGCTGTGACTTGAATGAAGAGGATACACAGATGGCAAACAAGCAATGGTTTGTGCCTGTGTTTCTTCACTACTTATTTTTAAAGATATTGACTGAAATAGCACAGTAAGTAGAAAAATGCCCCACTGCCCAAAAGATCTCTAGCTCTTATGTTCCTGTAAGCTGTGAATATATTATGATACATTGCCAAGAGGGATCTTGAGTGCTATAAACTAACTTTACATGGTAGAATTATTCCAGATTGGCTGAATGGACCCAATGTGATCACATTTTCTAAAAAGGAAGGCAGGAGTGTTGGTGTCAGATGACGTTGTGTGAACCATTGCTGGTCACAGCCAAGAAGTGCGGGCACCATCTAGAAGCCAAAAAGACCAGAGAATGGATTCTCCATGAGAGGCTCCATAAAGAAATGTATCTCTGCAGACACCTTCATTTTAACAAAGTGAGACCAATTTGAGGGCCTCCCCAGTGGCACAAGGGGTTAAGACGCAACCTATGAAGCTGTCCGCAGACTCTGCAGCATGAGTTCGATCCCTGGAGCAACCCAAATGGCACAGCAGACCTCTCCTGTCTTGCCCACTGCTCCCCTCAGCGGTGTATTTCAGTCAATCTGTTCTGCTCCCCACTGTCTCTGGTGAATCCTCTCACCCCCCACATCTCTGGCCTGTACCCCAGCTCTTATATGCATAAATAAATATATCTTTTTAAAAAAAAAGTGAGACCAATTTGGACATCTAGCCTTCAGAACTGTAGGATAGTAAATCTGTGTTATTTTAACCACTAGGTTTGTGGTAATTTGTTACAACAGCAGTAAGAAAAAATACAAATATTATAGGTAAAAAGATATTGTAGAGGTTTTAAGACATAGCCACAATTTCTTTGACTCTCATGGAGAAGAAGGGTCTAAGTCCTTGAATCTTGACAGGTTTGTTGCTGCTTTGACCAATGATATGAACTTTGTGGCTAGGTCATAAAAGGCCATCCTGCTTCCACCTTGTTCACCAGCAACACTCAACCTTCAGCCCTAAATTTTGGAAGGGCCATGGGCAGACAGGTCCTGTTGCCATCCCCAACTGAATCTGTCCTTCAAGCTGGCCCAGCACTGATGACAAAGGAAGTCATCTTAGAAGTGAATCTTCCTGGGCCTCCCCGGTGGCGCAGCGGTTGAGCGCTGGGTTGCGAAGCTGCCCGTGGCCTCTGCGGCGCTGGTTCGATCCCCGGCTGCTCCCCGGCCACGGAGGAGGGTCCCACATGGAGCGCAGACCTCTCCTGCCGCCCGCTGCTCCCCTCAGCAGTGTACTTCGGTCCTTCTTCCTGTTCTGCTCCCTGCTCTGGCTCTGGTGAATTCTCTCACCCTCCCGCGCTTCTGACTGTACCCAGTGCTTGTATAAATAAATAAATAAATAAATCTTTAAAAAAAAAAAAAAAAAAGAAGTGAATCTTCCACCCAGAGAGTGAGTTATTTATGACATGGACTGCTGTGGCGTCATATTCATATCACACTTGTTTGACTAGAGAAGTTGTGAAAGAACATCACCTTCTTCGATCTTATGCGTAGAAACAGGTCTATGGTGATACCAACTCCTGCTGACCCACTAATTAGGGAAATACTTTCTTCAAAACAAAGGAAGTCATCTTAGAAGTGAATCTTCCACCCAGAGAGTGAGTTATTTATGACATGGACTGCTGTGGCGTCATATTCATATCACACTTGTTTGACTAGAGAAGTTGTGAAAGAACATCACCTTCTTCGATCTTATGCGTAGAAACAGGTCTATGGTGATACCAACTCCTGCTGACCCACTAATTAGGGAAATACTTTCTTCAAAACAATCTCAATGAACTGAGGAAATAATTCCTTCAGACATGTCATCAATCAATGGAGAAGTGGAGCTATTCTTACTGAGATTCTGAATTCCTGTGCTAACCAAAGGCTATTGACAACTCCTAGGTTATGCATCTCACAGAATGACACCAACATTATGATTAAAATCCACTCACCCTCAGTTTTCATCTGACCTCAGTTTTCATCTGACCCCAATTTTCATCTGACCCCTCTCTATATAAAGAAAAGGGGTAATGTTTTAAACCCAAGAAGGAAGAGTCAGCTGCAAGTACCCAAGTCTTGTCATGACTTCTACCAACCCAGACACCCTTACCTGCCCCACATCATGGAGGCATTTGACACTTACCAAGGCCCTTTGCTCTCAGGCCTCCTTGATTCCCTGAGTGTCATCCCTCTGTCTGTTTCAGATGTCACCCTCTCTGGCCCTGGATGAGATCACATCAAACATGATGACCAAGATATCTGAATCAAAATGAAAATAGAGCACCCAACATAGAAATCTGAATCACCCTGGTCAATTTCTTCTTTCAAAGGGATCCACATTGTCATATTCTACTCAGTAGTTCAGAGAGAGAGAGAAGGGAGATTAATTTCCACTTTCTAGATAAAGAATTGAGACATAATTCATTGAGTAATTGGTCTGAGGCAAACTCCAGGACTATTTATTTCCCACTTAGGCAGGTAAATTTAAATTCATGTCAGTTATTCCCAAGAGCCATGTTGTTTTTGATGTAAGATATACTAGCTTTGTCTGTTGTGTTGTGAATCATGGGTTAGCTGAAACTCCCTCCCAAAACAAGAAGGAAGTCCAGATAAGACATTTTAGTGAACTAAGTCCCCTAAAGGGTATGAATAAAATCCAAAATGGAGATATGAGGAAATTTCTAGGAGTTCCGAACTCTTAAAAAATGCTACAACTTTTTAGTACTTTTTGACCTTTTCGGGGGTGGAGATAGGAAGAAGCTGACTTTCCTTATTGTTTTTTTTTTTTTAGTGATTTAGTCTCTTGCTATGCCTTTCACAGTTGGTGTTGACTTCTCAGTTTCCTGTTGCTTCTCTTACTTCCCCCAGAAGTCCCTCAATATTTTGTAGCAGACTATTATAAGACCAGCAGCTGGTGCTCTAAGTCAAGCATTATGTAAAGATCATTCCTCCTGCTCACCCCCACAGGGAGTGAAATTGGTATGCCCTGGGGAGAGGAGCAGCATCCATGAGTATAGGGAGGCAGACCAGGCACTGTCTTGGAAATACACAGATACCTTGGCCCAAATCAGAGATGCTGAGGTGTTTTCTGAGCCATTCCAGGGTTAGCAGGGTGATAAGAGGAGATGACCAAGTGCAGAAGAGAGAAGACAAAATGACAGCAGGAGGGAGGTTGTATGAGGATATCAGGGAAGTTGGGGGTCCTGAGATACGGGAACTTTTTGCTGAGATGTCAAGTCATAAAGAGGGATGGAGGCATAACACTGTGGCCCCAAAATGTACCTGCTGGCTGTGTCCATCCTAATTCTTCTGTCCTTCTCCGTAACTTCCAAACTCAACAGGATGACTAGTCTGCTTCAATCCCAGTGATACCTGGATCCAGCAGTACATTAGGAAGCTAGAGCTGAATCTGATGGATCCAGAAAGTCAAATCCATCAGTAGATTAGGGAGTAGGGACCTAAGCCAGAAAACTGGCACCCTCAGCTCAAAATACTATCTCTTTATGGTTATAAGCTGCACCTCCCACTAACCAAACTCTAGAACCATCTTTACATTAATTTTAATCTATTTAAATTATTCATCTCTATTATATATTTCCAGTTTTGAATTGTTTTCTATAAGACACCACACATTGACATTGTGGTATTAAATGATTGTGCTAAATCTTCTCTCTGGATATTGGACCAAGTCCATCTACAAACAAGAATTATAAATACTCATTTTTCAACAAATATTTAGTCTTTGTATTATTATTATAATCTTTTGAATGATAAAGATGTTTTCATTGGTAAGCCTCTGACAACTGTGTTGGTTGTTTATTTGAACATCAATAATACTGATCAGAAGGAAAGCAGGGTAAGTTTATATAATTTGGAGAAGTGAGAAAAGACAGGAAAAAAGAGAAGACAAGCATGCCACTATAACTACAAACATAAGCATGCTTATAATTGAGATAGCATCCTGGAAAGCCAAAACCAAAAATGTTATAGATTAAATCATAATTAAAATAAAATCGGCACTTTACAGGGACAAAAATAGAAACGAAAGGCTCTTTCATGTTCACCTTTGCCTTTTTCAAAATATATCAAACTTTCTTGGGAATAATGACTTACATTATTGAGAGCTTAATATGAATTATGAATGCTCATGAATTTTCTCATGTTTTCCTCAAAATAGTACCATGAAACATATCTGTTGTTGCCCCAGTTGATAAGTGAAGAAACAGAAGTTCGGTGAACCCAGGTTAACTTCCTCAGGGCTACATAGTTAGCAGTGTAAAAACTTAAACCTGGATTCCTGTCCCATGCTCTTTACCCTCAGGCTCCTGATTCTCAAGGTTCCACTTGAAACAGATTTAACATGACATTTCCTGTTTCATTATGTGTGCATTCTGCCTTCAGCTAACCAGGAGATCATCCTCCTGTTTGGGTAAAGCCAAGATGAGTCAAGTCCCTCTATCTACTGTAGCATTTTCATTTGACTCATGCTTATCAAACCGAGTGCACACATGTCTCTCTTCTGGCCATCTCTCTCCCTGCACTTACTCATATCCAGTATACTCAGGGCACCTCAGCAAATACATTGACCATATAGACTCTAACCAGATTTTGAGAAGAATTCTCTGTCTTTGATGGCACCCCTAATCTTTACAAATATTTCCCCTGGAGTTATCTGCCTTTATAACACTCCCTGCCCTTATCAATGATTTGCTTCTTTCTCCTCTGTTCAATCTCCTACTTCAAGAACCGGATAGAGAGAGTGTAGGCAAATCCTGCCATCTCCATGGAATATCATCCCCAGAGGGGGCTTATGGCATGGTCTTTTTTGAACAAGACAACTGCTTTTTGCAACAGAAACTATGCCAGTCAACATCTTCGTAGTTTACACAAAGAAACTGCAAGAAGACAGATGGGAATGACATTGCCTAATGCTGGAAAATAGAAGAGAATAATTACTCATAAAATTTCACCAAAACTCTGCAATGTACACAGGAAATCCACAACTACTTCTCCAATTTTAGATAAGATATTAACAACCTATACAAACATTAATGTTCTTTATATTTCAACAATGAATTAATAAGTAACCAGCAGATTACACACCCAAGTGTACTGAACATTATCATTTTGCTTCTAAAAGAGTTTTCCCCTTTCTTCCTTTAGTCTTCCTTAACTATTAGAATTGAAATAAATGTCCATCCAGAGGAGGTTTTAATGGCACTGAAGACAACGGGTTACCAGAGGGTCTGGGGTGCAAATGAAGAGAGAACTCCATGTCAAGTTCTCCTAAATGAAGACATGGTCAGGGTTCTATCCAGAATGGTTTATCCAGGACCTTTATATTTGCTTTCCCCAACTTCCCGTTATTTTCATCTCTATAGCCAAACATTGTACTCAAATGCTTATAACAGTTTTATTCAAAATATCCCCAAACTTTATTCTAAATAGAACCCAAATGTCCATCAAGTGGTGCTTAGATACACAAATTGTGGAATAGTCAGGTCTGCTTCCACCATATCAGAAACTAGAAAGGTCTGTGCCAACCCCAGCAAGGTGTGGGTCTAGACACTGCAATAAGATCCCTAGGGTTCTGGAGCCAGCAAGGAGAGTGCTAGAGATGTGAGCAGATTGGGCACAGGAACCTGAGCCAGGCAAAGGTCTCTATGATCTCAGAAGCCACTCCAGACATACGCTAGTGCTCTCTGCACATTTATTTTTAAATTATGTATGCTATGTTATGGTTCTCATTCCTTTCCACTTTCAAACTGTGTTATTTACTAAATGTCCTGAGAGACTGCATTGCCCCCTCTTGCTTCCCCTCACTATTTTCCCTTCAGTCACATGGGATTTCAGGGGCTACAATGAGCTGGGTCTAAAAAAATATTCTAGAAAACCATCAAGCCAGAAATATATATTTGGAGTACCCAGTTCTGGGTTTGGAAACAACATGATTTCAGCCCCTGCCCTACATCTTGTGTCCCTCCCTCCAGGTTTAGCTAAATATTAAATTTGAGCAGTATTAATAGAGAGGATGTGGAGCAACTGCTATAGACACACAGCTAGCAGGAATGTGAATTTGTCCTTCACTTTGGAGAAGGCTGTTGTCACCCTGTATAGCAAAAGTGTGCACAGCCACTCCTGGATACACCCTACTTCCTGGCACATCACACCAGGCAATGGCACAAGGATACTCAGCACAGCCTGCTGCTGGCTTTAGCAAAAAGATAAGAGGGAAGAATGAAAAAGACATCGTGGTATATTCATACACTGAACTATCACCAGGAGTGAAAACAAGTGTACTTTAAACACAGGAAAGAGGGTGAATCTCAGAAGCATCATGTTGGGAGAGAAAACCATGCAAGGGTACATATATTAATTTACATAGAGTTCAAAAACATAGGAAGCTAAAAATACATTATTTAAGAGTCAAATCTATGTCATCAAACTACAAGAAAAGCAAAAATATAATAAAAATAATATTCAGGAGAGAGATCACTTGGAGGTAGCAAGGGAAGAGAACAGAATAGCAAGCAGTGAACAGCTGTGGATAAAAGGAGGGGGAGAGAAGAAAGATCCTATAACTTTAGAAGAGAGGTAGCTACCTCTGTTCTGGGAAAGATTCTATACCTATGAATTTCTAGTAACTAATCCTTTGTTTGCACTTTGAAAAGGAAGCGCGCACTGCAAGTCAACATGGGAGCAATTACGGTCACTCAGACTAGACAGACCCCACTTCCTTCTCTGGCAGCAGCAGACATCTAGGGAAGAATGGGATGGGAGAGTTGTAGACAAAGGATCTGATCTTCAGCATTTAACAAAGGTGCCCTTGGGATCAGTTAGAAAACAGTAAAATGTAGGACACTGAGGTATTGTGGCCCAGCACCATAGTTGCATGTGCCAATGTGCAAAAAAAAAAATAACAAAAATCTTTGAGCCATAATCTTCCCTCAGTTCCCCTCCCCCACACCAGCCTTCCTCCCTTGAATAGGGGAAGTAGAGTCAGTCAAGCAAGACTGAAGTTCCGGGAAGAGGGTACATGTTGCTTACCAAAGCATGGAAGTCAGATGACTCAATGTCAGCAGTAACTTAGTTTTGGGCATCCAGGAATTGGCATAGAAAGAGAACCAAGAGATGTTACCAGTCAGCCTTTTCCATCCTCCTGCCCACACCTGATACTCTGCTAAATCAGTAGACAAAGGTCACAGTCTGGCACCCTGCCCTTCCCATGCACACACAGAAGCCAAC